CCGTATGAAAATTCAACAGGTTAGTTATCGGGTTAGAAAACGTGTTAGATCTAACATTCTAACATAAACATTATTTTGGGTCATTTACGCTCATTATGATGAAGAAGTCATGACAAAGCATATACGATGAAACCTTGACAAAGCATATACGATGAAGTCATGACAAAACATTTACGATGAAACCTTGACAAAGCATATACGAAGAAGTCATGACAAAACATATACGAAGAAGTCATGACAAAGCATATACGATGAAGTTTATTTCCTGGACTGTTGTCTAAATGTCATGTTGTCAGTAATTTTAAGAGAAGTTAATTAACCTGGTAGCACATGGTAACATGGTAACAGTGAAAACATTAACGTAAACATTATTTTTGCTGAATTCAACAACAAAATGAACGAGGTCAGGATGTATGTAAATACCTTTGAATTCATTCATAACGCCTTAGTAAGCTCATAAAATGCTTGTTTTTGCATCACATTTTGACTAAGTGAAGATCTTCACTTCGTCAAAAATGTTTTGCATTCTCTACTGTATCTTCGAGTTCTTCTTCATCTAACTTCTCATGAACTTTCTTGTCTATGGAGTCCATAATATCTTTGACATAAAATGCATACTTTACAGAGCACCATTCAGCAACAAAATGAACGAGGTCAGGATGTATGTAAATACCTTTGAATTCATTCATAACGCCTTAGTAAGCTCACAAAATGTTTGTTTTGAGGTTGAGCCACTTTTGGCTCGACCGTATTCTTTCAACCAAAACTCAAGAATTTTCCTGCGTGAATTTTGTATAAAAAGCAACCGTCTGAATTCCGGCGGTTGTTATATTCTTCACAAAACATTTACGATGAGGTCATGACAAAACATTTACGATGAGGTCATGACAAAACATATACGATGAGGTCATGACAAAACATATACGTTTAAGTTCCATGAGGTCATAACAAAACATTTACGATGAGGTCATGTTAGAAAACATGTTAGAAAAGGTGTTAGATCTAACATTCTAACATAAACATTATTTTTGGATCATTTACACTCATTACGAAGAAGTTTTGACAAAACATTAACGATGAAATCATGACAAAACATTTACGATGAAGTTTTGACAAAACATATACGATGAATTCATGACAAAACATATACGAAGAAGTCATGACAAAACATGTACGATGAAATCATGACAAAACATTTACGAAGAAACCTTGACAAAGCATATACGATGAAGAAATCATGACAAAACATTTACGATGAGGTCATGACAAAACATGTACGATGAAATCATGACAAAACATTTACGATGAAATCATGACAAAACATTTACGATGAGGTCATGACAAAACATTTACGATGAGGTCATGACAAAACATTTACGAAGAAACCTTGACAAAGCATATACGATGAAGAAATCATGACAAAACATTTACGATGAAGAAATCATGACAAAACATTTACGATGAGGTCATGACAAAACATGTACGATGAAATCATGACAAAACATTTACGATGAAATCATGACAAAACATTTACGATGAGGTCATGACAAAACATTTACGATGAGGTCATGACAAAACATTTACGAAGAAACCTTGACAAAACATTAACGATGAAATCATGACAAAACATTAACGATGAAATCATGACAAAACATTTACGATGAAATCATGACAAAACATTTACGAAGAAACCTTGACAAAGCATATACGATGAAGAAATCATGACAAAACATTTACGTTTAAGTTCCATGAGGTCATGACAAAACATGTACGATGAAATCATGACAAAACATTTACGATGAAATCATGACAAAACATTTACGATGAAGAAATCATGACAAAACATTTACGATGAGGTCATGACAAAACATTTACGAAGAAACCTTGACAAAGCATATACGATGAAGAAATCATGACAAAACATTTACGATGAAGAAATCATGACAAAACATTTACGAAGAAATCATGACAAAACATATACGATGAATTCATGACAAAACATATACGAAGAAGTCATGACAAAACATTTACGAAGAAGTTTTGACAAAGCATATACGATGAATTCATGACAAAACATTTACGACGAAGTCATAACAAAACATTTATGTTATACAGTAATGTTAGTCATGAATGTTTGTCCTAAGTGTTGGCGTTAGTGTTGAAAAATAATGTTTGTCCTACATGAAGCCGTACAAGCGTTTGAATTTGTTTATGCATAAAATTACTCTCTTGTTTTCTGTATCTATCATACAAACATAAGCATCACCTGTTTTTGTAAAGTTTATATGAAGTTTTCGATAGTTAAGACCTGTATAATAATAGAATGCGTCCTCATTCTCAACATAGTAGTAGAACTCAAACGAATGCTTACCATAATCTGTTATTTCAACAGCTTCGTCAGATATTTCATCAACGAACTCATAAACTATATCGCCATACTTGCTTTTATTTCTATTGTTTTCAGATCTAGAACACCAACGAAGGTTTGAGATTCTGTTGTCCGTTCTATCATGATTTATATGGTCTATTTCTTTCAAATTGTTTGGATTTTCAATCCACTGTTCTGCAATAATTCTATGCTTTAAATGCTTTTGTTGTTTAAACTAAGCTCAATATAACCATATGATTATTTAAGCATTCACTCTTAATATTGTTTTTCTTTCGACGAATAGTAAAAGGATATGTCGTACAAATCTCATAATCTTCATGATTTCTCAATGTTTCCCATTGAGTTTGTTCCCCACTAACGTTCTCATTGACGTCCTCAATATCTTCTTCCTCACTGAACTCATCAATATTTTCACTAGCTCCTTCTGTAATGTTTTCATCGGCATTGTCATTGACTTCTTCTGTAATGTTAGATGTTGTTGTTTCGCTCATGTTCTTTCACTAATGTTAAAAGTTATGTTGTACGAATTTTGAACAGAATTTAGAGCAGTTATGAAACAATGAAGTATTTTTAAGCTATTGAAAGGAACTATGAGAGTGAAGTACATGACAGCAATGACAAAAGGAACTAATATCAAACCTAATGAAATCGCTCACGAGGACATAGAGCTTAACAAGTACTTTGTGGAGTATCTTATAAGTGAAGAGTATGTAAGACCTTACTTCATGTTTGACAGCATGAATGAGGATGTTATTTCATGGTTAAAGAATATAAGCAATGTTTTCGGTAAGTACGTCATAGATGACAAAGGTCTTGTTGTATTTTATGAGACAGCAATACGAACACAGGAACTAATGGATATTATGCACTCAACAGCAAAGAAAGGATTTAGTACTATTGGCATGAATGAACATTGCAGGAATGACATATACAACCTATGCTCACGAAAGCCTTACACAAAAGCAATACAAATGATAGAACATAAGCGTCTAAGGTCAGCAAATGAAATCATTACTGTCAGTGGTTATGAAAGAACTGTTAGCAAAGATGAGTGGAAACAGCTATTCATATTAAGGAAGGACGTTGCTGAACTAGTTAAACCTGTTGCACAAACATTGTTTCAGATAAGACCAGCAATGACTAAGAACCCTTTGACCTTAGTCAATGAGACCATAGAGGTTGAAGATAATGACATGAAAGAACTAGGAATGAATGAGAGAAGTTGTGAAGGATGTTTGAGTCAAAACACATGGTTCTTCAGAGCTGTTAAGAAACTTAGTAAAGAACGACAGAAATATTTTATAGAGAAGTATTGCAAAGGATGTGTAAATGAATTGTTTGAAATAGAACTTAGAGACACTTTCACACTAAAGGACTTGAGGAAAAATAAGTACATGAGTGAGACGGTATTGACATAGCTAGTGTTATAAATGACTTAAGAAGATGTGTTGTTGTTATTGACGGAGCACGTATGACATATCTAGTGAAAGATTATGATGGAATACGAGACACAACAACACTTGTGTCAGTAGATAGCAAGGAATTCAATAAGCTCATGAAGAGTGTTTATGTAGGACGTATTGAGGAGAAGGATGTGAACGCACTGATGATTTATGAAGCGGGTCAGAACAAGAACTATCTTATGAAGTCAGGCATGAGATTCTTTGACGAAAGAGATGACATTTACAGCTATTTCAGAGGATATGAGTATGAGGTACTGAATGAAGTAGATGAAAGCGTTATTGAAGGATATTTGAAACATGTTCACGATGTCATATGTAATGAGGATGAAGAGCTTTATGAGTATGTTTTGAACTGGTTCGCCTACATCGTTCAAAATCCTTGTGGAAAGACTGGAACAGTACTTTTGTTAATAGGAAAGCAAGGAACTGGTAAGAATGTACTTAGTAATGTTCTATGCGAGCTCATTAGCAAGTACGCCAACAATAATATAACGGCAATAGAGAATGTGGTTGGTAGATTCAATGCTGCTATTGAGAACATGAAGCTCATCGTATGCAATGAACTAAGCTCATGCGATACGTCTAAGGTCATGAACCACGACGCACTAAAGTCAATAGTAACAGAGACTCAGTTGGACTTAAATCAGAAGTGTCAGCCAGTAAGAAAGATAGAGAATGTTTGTAATATCATCATGATATCTAACAACTTCAACTCAGTAAAGATTGACAAAGACGACAGAAGATTTGTTGTCATTGACGTAAGCAGCAGATACAAAGGAAATTACGAATATTTCTCAAATCTCATTGAAAGCTTTAATGAAGAGTTTTATTCAAACTTACTGACGTACTTCATGAGGAAAGATTTAAGTGAATTTGATGTAAGGAAGATACCATTCACCAGGGCTAAACAAGAACTCATCGAAATGAACAAAACACCTTACCAAATGTTTTACGAGGAGTTCTATGAAAAGTTTGTATCCGGATGGAATTGTACAGAGTGCTACAGAAGATATAAAGAATTTGCGAAGGAGAATGAATTCTTTGCATGTAGTTCAAATGTATTTGGTGGCAAGATGAGAGAATTTGTGAAAAGAAGTAGAAAGCGAGACGGTTCTGCAAGAAGTTATATTTACGAAGCAAGTATGATATTAGAAGGTCGTGGAAAGAAAGAAACAGTGAATTATGAGGAAGTGCTTGAAAAATTCATGGAGTACATGGGAAGCAATATAACATACAACAAAGACATATACAGTGAGTTTAAGTACTATTGTGAACAGCATGAGATTGAAGTAATGAGTAAAGGAGACTTTGAAACGCTTATGAAAGACAGTGAGGAGGTCGTTCATGAGAACAATGATGAAATAGTTCATGAGAACAGTGAGGAGGTCATACATGAGAACAGTGTTGAAATAGTTCATGAGAACAGTGAGGAGGTCATACATGAGAACAGTGTTGAAATAGTTCATGAGAACAGTGAGGAGGTCGTTCATGAGAACAGTGTTGAAATAGTTCATGAGAACAGTGAGGAGGTCGTTCATGAGAACAATGATGAAATAGTTCATGAGAACAGTGAGGAGGTCGTTCATGAGAACAATGATGAAATAGTTCATGAGAACAGTGAGGAGGTCGTTCATGAGAACAGTGATGAAATAGTTCATGAGAACAGTGAGGAGGTCATACATGAGAACAGTGTTGAAATAGTTCATGATGTCGTTCGTGAAGAAGCCATTGCAACAAAGAATGAGATAAAGGATTTCATAGAACTTAACAAGGAGGAGTTTAAAGAAGGCTATGAAGTGAAAAGATGTGAAGAAGATTTCTTGGCGTATTTGAAGAAAAAGAGACTAAAGCCAATGGCTCAAAATAAGTTTCAATCGATGTTTGAAAAGAAACGTTTGAGCTATGGTGGTGTAAGAAGCACATATTACTTTGTTAAGAAGTGAGGACATTTATTTTTGTCGTTAGTGTTGGAGTTTTGTATTTGTTGTTAGTGAGAGAATAAATTAAATCATGAACTTTGCCATGGTCTCTGTCCCTAGTAGTTTTCATTAAGTTCTGGAAATAATGAAAGTCATAAACTTTGCCATGGTCTCTGTCCCTAGTAGTTTTCATTATCTCACAGAGTTAATGAAAGTCATACTTTCTATCAGATGAAGCATGTAGATGAATATAATGAAAGTTAGTGGGTTTGCCACGAGTTATGAATAAAATATTGGCATATTAGATGAGATAGCTGATGAAACAGATGAAGATAAATTAAATCTTGGACTTTGCCACACTCTGTCCCTAGTTCCTCAAAATCCTTGACAACGTTGCTTAGAAATTTTGGTTCAAAACCTCATCTGATTTTAATCTGTTATGCTACCTGTTAAGTTTCGCGAGATTATAAATGTCATGGAGTTATATAAAAAGGAGGGACAGCTAGGGACACTGGAAGTACTTGTAAGGCTATCTGTTAAGATTGCATGAAATACTAAAAAGTCATGAAATCCATTATCGCTGTGCTAGCTTCACCTTAGAGTAAAATGACGACTAAAGTCACTGAAGCAATGAAACAAAAGTTTTTGGTAGAATACATTAAATCAGGAACTATTCCAGAAGGTTTTTACATTCATACTATGAAGGATGGTAGAGTTCAGTTTAGAAAGATAAAACAACCATTAGACAGAGAAGGTATATTAAGGAAGATTAAACTTCATGAGGACAACATTGCTGAACTTAAGAAGAAGTTAGAAGAGTTGGAGAAAGCAGACGACAGTGAGGAATAAAATATTTCATTAGTTTTATTTTTACTGAAAATTTTTATTTGGATGTAATGACGAAAACTATTGAGATAACAAACTACAACGGTCATGAGTTCAAGAATTTGTTCTTCGTTCCTCGTGAAAATACATTCTATCAGATACGAGGGAGAAAGGGTAAAGTTAGTTTGAGCGTTTATGAAGGAATGAAGAATGGAAAGTTTATACAAGCATACGATACAAACGGTAAGCGTGTTTCATTAGCTTTGTCAAAACTTACAGGTATAAACTATGACAGTGATTTTGACCTATATGAAGAAGAAAGTGAGTCAGAAGATTATGAGCTGTTATATGAAGCACAGCAATGGGAGGAGTTGCAATACTTTTGTAAGTGAGAACGTTTATTTTTACATTAGTGAAGTCGTTTGTGAAAATATTAGTGAATTCGTTAGTGAAGTCGTTAGTGTTGTAAAATATACGTTAACGGTTTTGTAAAGTGTCAAATTCACATATAATGGGTAAGGAGGCGCGCAGTGCCGCCGTACCCATGATATGTATACTAACTCCTTTATTGTAGTAGTCAAGTAATGTTTGCTGCGATAATGCTTCTCCGGCCTGGCATGTGTGAACATGAGTCTTAAGCCAGTTTTTATAATGATCCTCCCTTTGTTCTTGCATTGAACACCGGCAAACTACGCCATCAGATCGTGTCACAAGTTCATTGCATTTTACATACCACTTAGTTAGTATGACTATCTTGGGTACGGCGGCACTGCGTTCCACCTTACCAAAGATAACAGTTTGACACTTTACAAAACCGTTAACGTATATTTTACAATACAACCATAACACCAACTTAACCTTAAATATTTACAAAACCGTCTGACACATAAACGACTTCACTAACGACTTCACTAAAGACTTCACTAACAAATTCACTAACGAATTCAATACCGTCCTCACTAAATAAAAAATAACCTTATTTTATTTATTTTCCAACTTTTTTATTTCATTACAAAGACATGTCTGACTACATTTACTATGACTCTTTCCCAGAACGTTTCCGTGAACTATTCAAAACTCAAGTAAAACTGAGAAACATGCATTTTAACAAAGACAGACCCATTGACGATGAAAGAAACCCTGAATATATTACAATCCCATATGACGCAAAATTTATTGCATACATTCCTTATGGTCGCAGAGGAACGAAAACTATTTCAACAAAGACGAAAAATTATTTCTGGAGCGATGAAGAAAATTGCCTTATCTACATAAATGCATACTTAAATAAAGCTACATATTGTACAAAAGAAGGTTGGACTGGATTTGAGCTCTACATATACGACGACGATGGAAACAGACGTTGTGTATACCCATACGATAATATGTACCATTGTTTTCATCAAGCATTAAACGAATACATAGTCAGTAAGGGTCTCATTCCTGCTGAGTAGAAATGTTATATTTTTGTTCTGTCATTTATATAAAAATAAATGATATCACCACCCTCACACGTATGAAAACATAGCACAAAAATAAATTTAGGTGAAGTGGTGAAATCTCACCTCTTTTTTCACCTCTTTTTTCACCCTGTTGAATTCATTGCTTTATAACTCTCTTCCTTGGTTTCTTTTTAGTTGCTTTCTTCACGTCTGTCTCCAACTTGACTGTCTTTCTTCTTCGGCCGTAATGATACCAGTTACTTCCACCAGTCAATGGGTCAAATGGTCTTTCGTAAGGGTTTCCATACATTCCATAGGGACCATACGGAAGAACTACTGGTGGAGAAGAAACATTTTCTTTAGTTCCATCGACTCTATTTAAATGCATTGTTTCACCTTTCATCTGGTCATTAAAGTCTTTTGCATGTTTTGCAAACTCATCGTCCTTTCCTAAAGCATTTTCTGACTCAGGCGCAACCAAATTGGATGCTTTATTTATGAGCCCCATTTTATTTAATCTTAACTTCTTTGCAACCCAGCCTCCAATCTTTCCTTTATTTGCATCTAATGTCTTTGAAACCCTTCCTCCACTCATTTTATTTACTGCGTCATAAGCTCCAAGTGCTTTTGCTCCAAATGCTAATGCTTTTGTTCCCATTGCGCCTAAAGCTGCCCAAGCTACCATTTACACCATATTAAAATCATCTCTCTTCAATATTATCTCATAAAAGTTCTCGTTACTGGAGAAAGTCAATGAAACATAAGCGTTCTCACGGGCTTCGCCCTCACCGCTTTGCGGTCTATCTAACTTATTTCTTATATCATCTATACGCTTCAAAATGTCTGAACAATTGCTAACATCTTCTACAACAGTTATTTCATCATGAATGACCTTCAAGAACAAGCTCATTTAATATGCTATTAAAATCATCTCAATAATGAGTCCATCCTTTCCATCTTTAGGTAGCACAACATCTTTCATTGAAGAAGGTTCGACAAGTCTTATGTTAAACTTACTGACAAAGTTTGTTATACTATAATGCTTCGGTGGCGAATACATGTAGTTTGAAAGACATAATATAGATTCTTCAGCAAATTCACTTATACTGGATTTTATAACAATGTTTTCACGAGACCAAATGCCACCAATTGAAAAACTTGTAAGCAATCCTGCTGAACCTTCTACTGTAAACGTCGATGGTAACATTCCACGAAGGTCATCTATTGACATCTTTGAGTCACTGAATTTAAATATTTTCTTAAAGCAATCGTCATTATCTAACCATGCAATAGCTTTGAAGTTTTCATTTGAATATACATCTGCTTCATTAAATGTAAATCCTGACTTCTTTGCAGAGACGACTTTAAAATCTATTGAGTTTGTTTCAAAATTATATGCTATGGTAACTTCTGAAGGTAATGGATGTCCTTCCGCAGTAAGTTGTTCTCTCACTACCGTTTGAAGCTTTGTGTTAAAAACTTTCATGTCATCTCCTGTGTCTAGGTTCACATACACAGCAACAGGAAAACTATCTTGCTTCTTTGTTTCATCATTATATCTCAAAACATTAAAGTTTTTCAATAATATTGTTCTTCCTGCTGGAATACTTCGAACCTGTCTGATTTCAATAGCTTTCTCACCTCCTACATACTCTACCCAGTGTCTTGGATATTCATAAGTATACTGACTTTCTTGAATTTTGGTTGGTTTCATCATAACATGTTCATAGTATATCTTTATACTCTTGTCAGTTAGACTCGGTGCTATGTTCTGAATATTTCTGACTTGCATTTTTAATGGAGATAAAATGAAGCATTTAATACATGACGTAGATGAAGACATGAATGAAAGCAGTGAAAAGCTCAACAGTTCTCTCATTCTTCCTTTCAGTAAGGACTATGAGTTCTGTTCAAATGGTGTTTATTTCTATTGTGGAAAGATGGGTTCAGGTAAGACATTTAATTTAATTCGTCATATACTCATAACAGAACGTTTAGGAAACGACTCTTACTATGACCAAATCATTATATCAGCAACTTCAGACTCTATGGATTCAACAGCGAAAACATTTATGTCAAAAGTTCAAGCCTCTGTCGTTAAAGTTCCAGACAGTGAACTCATTGAATTTCTTCAACGTTACATTCGACGTAAGAGGAAATATTATGCCATCGTAGAGTTTATACAGTCAGGAATGCAAAAGACTTCTGAGGAGATGGAAAGAATTATTGACAAACACCACTTACGTCAGTACTCAGGAGTTTACGATATGAAACGACTGACAAACTACATTCTATCAAAACTTTCAAAATACCCCTTCAAAAAATATCCATCAAACACTTTGTTAGTTTGCGACGACTTCGCCGGAAAAGGTTTAGTTTCAAAACCAGACTCACCATTAGCTAACATCATTACTAAAGTCAGACATTACCACTTAACTGTAGCAATACTTATGCAAACATGGAGGTTTTTAGCTTTAAACATAAAGCGTCTCATAACTGACTTCGTTATCTTTCAAGGTTTCTCACGTTATGATATTGAACTCATTTGGAAACAGTCAGGTATAACATTACCTTTTGAAGAAATTTGGGAAGCATATAAGTCTCTCATCTCTCCTCGTTCATACCTTGAGATTCATATCATGACTAATACCATTAAAGTCAAAAATATTCCATGGGAACGACCAACATTATTTTAAAGCTTAACCTTCAATTGACTGATGGTAAACAAATTCCATGCATCTCTGTTGCCATTTCTGTTAATATTTTTGCTGTCATTCATATCATCCACTTCTCCATCCGTTAGCTTTTGAGGATATGTGTTAGAATAGCTGTTCTTAAATGAAGGCTTTTCACCTTTGAGAGCATAAACTCTATAACTTTCTGCATACTTTATGTTTGAACCTCCTGAGCCATCGTTGACATAAATTTTTATAGGCTTCCACCCTTTGTTCATGTTCCTGCTTCTTCCCTTAGCTCTTTTGTTCAGTAGTTCTACATCTTTATACACAGCTCCTGTCTCAGTGAATTCAACAATATTTTCATTCGTTAGCTTTACATTCAAACCCTTGTCGAGTATATTGTTCATTTCATACATATAAAAGGTTTTTATTCTATATGAAATGAGAAGCAAATCCATCTTAGCTGGTGCCGTTAATGTTCCAATTGAACCAACATCAAATGTTGACTCACGAACGACAAACAATATTGTCATAAAGAACTATAGTTCAGAGTGTTTGAAAGAACCAGAACCAGAGCTGAAATCCGTGAATTTAAACTCAGCTTCAAACGCTAACGCTACATCAGATGTTAAGTTAGAGTATCCACCACTGGACCAAATTCTTTCAAGAGAAGCCAACGACAACCCTTACACAAATGTTCAAACAAATCCTTCAGATAACGTAGACCATTACCTTCTTCAGTTATACCAAACAATTTTACTCAAAGACGATAAGAAGCTTTTGATAAATCTTATAAGTAAGAACCAAATAATTCTAACAAAGGAGGACCTTGAAAATGTTATATCACGAATAACAGGAAAACAATGTGTCATTGACTATCTCGACCCTGAAATCGAATGCTGTGGTCAAACTCCACTATTCATGAAAATAGGTAACATCCGCATCATTGAAACACCAGGTACTCCAGGAGTTGAGTTTAAGTATAAATATTCGAACGAGTATACAAAACTTTCAACAGAATATAAACTTTGCTTGAAATATGTTTTAGTAAATTAAAGCAGTCAGGACCTTCGGTCTTGGCGCTTTGCGCCGTCAGTCAAAAAAATTTCAAGTTAGCAATTTGTAATATCTGTCCAAAACTTCTTCAACAGTATCGAACTCATCTTCATAATGCAAACCTAATCTTATTGACTTGGTGCAGTTTTCACTAACACAATATTTTTCTGTTCTCTTGACTGACATAACTAACTCATTTGTTTCATCAAACAGCAACAACCAAAGTTCATGACCTAATACATAACATTCATACTTTATATTTTTAGCTCTGAGTTCTCTTGTAAGCTGTTGCATTTAATATTTTCTAAAAAGTCAACTTCAACAGTCATTCGCACTGGTGCCTTCAGTTCTACAGGCTCTCCTTGAAAGTCAACAAGTCTGAATTGCATGTCTTTCAAATTATGAGGACTAATGCGAACCCATTTACCTAAATGAGTTGCTATGACAGGAACATTTGGAATGAACATTGAATTGACTGCATAACAGAAAGACTTATATTCTACTGAACCTTTACTATTAACTCCTGAAATACCTGTGACATTAGCTATTTTTGACTCAATGTACAAACAATTACCATAACATACGTATGGAACAGATTTCATCTCAATCGTTTTGTCAACACTTTTCAAAGGAAATGTCATATGGTATGCACCCAAAAGAAGTTGTACTCTATGACTCATTCTTGGTATCTTAAACTCTTTCTCGCTGCTGAACTTCAATGTTCCCTCAGAAGAGAGTTCGACATCTATGTTGTCAATAGTTTCTTCATTTATGAGAGCATTTAACACTCCAGCAATTTTATCTATTCTATACCCAGCTCTATTAGGAAATGTTATAACACTTCTTTTGTCATCTATTTCAATCTCTATGAAATCTGTTTCATCTGTTATGACAAAAGTTGCGATAGTATTGAAGTCAACAACTCTGAAAGCAAGCGCTTCATTCTGAAGACCTAAGTTTGTTTGTAGCTTTACTGTCCCGTATTCGTTTGGGTCTGTACTTTGCAAATAAAACAACATTTTATTCTCATTAAAATATGACTATTGCTGCATATGCGTATGAAACAAATGAAGCAAGAAGAGCACATGAACTAGTAAACGAAAACTCAACTTTAACCATTGAAGGCAATGATTTAGTCATTGACGATGGAAAAACTAAAAAAGTCATTGATTTCGATACTTTTAACACTTATGACCCATTCATTACAACAAGCAAGGTTCCCATCATAAATGATGGAACGGTGCAATATATAAATTCTACAGTAGATGCCTCATTAGTGAAAGTATTAAATGTTCTCATTGAATTGTTAAAGAGCTTTCGATTTGACGACAACATTAAATGCCTAAAGAATTTAGTCATGAATGAGAAACAAATTCTCGGCGTTGCTGGTAGCAGTAATGATGTACACCTTATGACATTAGAATATTATAACGAACATAAAGATGAACTGAAAGGAGAGAAGGGTGACACCGGACCTCAAGGACCACAAGGAATACAAGGAATACAAGGAATACAAGGACCTCAAGGCGAAAACGGTTTGGATGGAAAGGATGGAAAGGATGGAAAAACTGCTAAATCATGGATATGGAACCTTATAAATACTGGTTTAACAGCTGCTTCATATGGAGTTCTTCAATACCAAATCGGAAAGATATGGGCAGTACTTGGTGAAGAAGTTTTAGATGACGTTAAAAATGCTTTGAACTTCATTTCAAATGGTTCGGATACTATTAAAACTTTATCTGGTTGGATGCAAGAAACAAGGAGTCAAATAGATACTGTAAGACGTATAGCAAACAATGCACGTACGAGATTGGATACTTTACGAGAAGCACAAAATACTCTAAAGGAAGCAAATGATATTCTTGGCTCAGTATCAGACATGCATGAAGATTGGCTTAAAGGTATTGACAAATCTTTAAAAAATCACAGTCAGTCTATTGCTGACTACAAGAAAAGTATAGATTTTTTACATAGTGCTATGGACGTACATGATGGAAGCATAAGGAACTTACTTAATGCTAACAATAACTTACCAGGAACTATTAAAGCATTTATAAAGTCCTTTGTAAAACCTGGTGCTCTAACATTTAGGTCTTTGAGAGCAAGAGCATTGAAGTCAAGAGATGCAGAAACTCCAACAGAAACTCCAGAAGAACCACCAAAACCAACAGCTAATGAAATATTGTTCGAATATTTTCCAAGGTACTCTGTTCTCATTGCATACATTCAAGAAATACTTAAGAAAGCAGACTTGACTTTAGGAGATGATGAAAGTTCTGTATATCTTTCGTTCCAGTTTCAAATAGCAGAACTTTTGAGACAGATATGCTTAATGTATGACAACATCTCTGATTTCACAAGATATGATGACGACCATGATCCCGAACACGGTGAAGAAGAAGTTTTACAAACATCCATTAAGACAGGAAAGGTTTTAACTCAAAGTCTCATTATTGACACCAAAGATGGCGAAGTGGACGTTCTTCAAGAGCTGAAGAAAAATACTTCTTCGGGAGGTGGTGGTAGGCATGAATTTGAAATAAATGAGATAGAAGAGAAATTAGCCGAAAAAGCAGATAAAAACCATGTTCATTATATAAGTTCAGACGAACAGATTATAACGGACTACCATGGATATTTAACACAGGATGAACAAATAAGCACTGAAGATGTTAATGAAAGAAGATATAAATTCATTCGTGCTAAATGTTATGACATACACTGTACTGTACAGTATGACACAGGTAAAGTACCAGAAGCATTTGGTTATAACAATGAAATTTATGCTTCATACTTCTTTGTTAACGGTGTATTAGTTGAACCAAGATTTACTTTGAGAGTTAAGGCAAAAATAACTTTTGAAGATGCTATTAAAAGTAAAGCTGACAAAGATGAACTTGACGCAACGAACAAAGTTTTGAAATCTCATAAACACAATATCTCCGATATAAATGAACTTCAAGCTACATTAAATAGTAAAGCTGACAAGAACCATACACATGAATCCTTCACTACTGTTAGAGCAGACGACATAATATTGAACTATACCCTTGGTTCAAGTGCACCATTAGAGAATCCAAGTACAAGCGTAAAAGATACACTAAACTCCTTAAATAGTAAATGTATGAACATTGAAGGTCATGCCAGAAACTTTGAAACACATGAACTACCAGCAATGTTAGATAAGAAAGCAGACAAAAATCATACACATAACTCCTTCTCAACTGTTGCTATAGAAAGTATTGAAGGAACGGTTGAAGGAACTGGTGGGGAGGGCGGGGCTCCGCCGCACGCGGCTGCTTTATATTATAAGCCTCCAAACTTTCCACAAGGTTTAACATCGAATGAAAACATAACAACGAAGAAAGAAATTAGCTGTAAAAATGTTTATGTCATGGATGATGAAAATAATGTTAAATTCACTGCTCAAGATTTATATGATAATAAAGCTGACAAGAACCATACACATAAATCCTTCACTACTGTTAGAGCAGACGACATAATATTGAACTATACCCTTGGTTCAAGTGCACCATTAGAAAATCCAAGTACAAGCGTAAAAGATACTCTTAACAATTTAGATAACAGTTGCAGGAATATCGAAGATCATGCCAGAAACTTTGAAGCATATGAACTACCAACAATGTTAGATAAGAAAGCAGACAAAACAGAGCTTCAAACATTAAAGACTGAAATACTTCAAACATTATATCCTATAGGCTCTATTTATACGTCAATGAACTCAACAAATCCATCAACAGTTTTAGGTTTTGGTATGTGGAAGCAGATTGTAGATAAATTCTTATACTGTGCTAGATATTCAAAGCAAACAGGTGGTTCGAAGAAAATTAAAGAAGCAAACCTTCCACCGCACACTCATACAGGAACTACAAACTTTTCTGGCGACCATAGCCACTCATTAAGAGACCACCCATTATACAACTCAGAATATGAAGCTGGCAATGACGTTTTATCTCCATCTTATAAAATTCAGCAAAAAAGATTTTTCGACCAACTGAACCAGGAGGAAATCATTCACACACTTTCACAACAAATCCAACAGGCTCGGGTGCAGATTATATGCCACCATTTGTGACTGTATTCGCATGGTACCGTGTTCAATGAAATCTTTAACTTTACATAAATGAGCTTGAAAGAAGTATTCGAACAACATCCATGGAGGTCATTTAAGAAGTTCAATGAAGCAGCAAAAAGTTGGGGATTTACTAACAGAGCTGAAGTTAAAAAGTTCTTTGACAAAAATGTTGTACATCAAAAAAAAATAAACCCTTACGACTACTTTTTACCAATTTACTCCAACACTCCTGACGCATCCCAATTTGACACTCTCATTCAAAGCAGAAAAGGAGGACATAAACCATTCCTCATCTTCATTAATGTTAACACTCGCAAAGCATATGCATATCCAATGAAAATAAAGGAACTCGTGAAGTGTTAAGAGTTTTACAAAAGTTTGTAGCAGAACATAGCCCAAGTACTTTAACATCAGACCAAGACAGTGCATACCTCAGCAATGAAATCACAGAATTTCTCATTAAGCATAACATAACTCACTACACTACTGAAGACCATAACCATAACATACTCGGCATCATAAACCGCTTCATAAGGACTCTCAGAGATTTAAACCAAGAGCGAGACTTTACCGAAGAAACAATGAAACATTTTCTCGAAGTATATAATTCCTCAACACATTCTACAACAGGACATACACCAAATTCAATGACACAACAACAAGAAGAAAAGTATATACAAAAGAAACGAAGCCAAACACAAAATATCAGAAATTCAACACAATTTACCCTCATTCCTGGTACAAAAGTTCGTGTAGTTCTTGACGACAAACCGATGACAAAGAAACGTTTAAGGTTAAGTCGAAATTATTATATAGTAGATTCAACGCAAGGTAATGGATATCTTATAAAAGCTGCTGACGACTCATAGCATTTTACCCTCGTCATAAATTAGTCGAAAGTAGTAATGGCAAACTTGCTAAAACTTGACGAAGCAAAGCGAGGAGTGGTTATTGAAATACTTGGCTATAACACAAACGATGACACTTATAAAGTAAGATATGAAGGAGGCGTTGAAGATGTTATACCATCTAAGAACTTGAGAGAATCTAAACCAACTCATCTGGGACCATTAGAGCGGGAGTACTGGAAAGACAAAAATATGCCAGAAAGAATAAGAAAATTCTTCTAAACTTTTTCATTAGATGTAAATCAGACATGAACGAGAACAGTCATGATATCATTAATGGTACCATTTATTTACACCAAAAATAAAGTTTATGTTAGAATGTTAGATCTAACACGTTTTCTAACCACTTTTCTAACCTCATTTCTACCCTCATGAATTTCCTTAAGACAGAAAAAATAACGTTAGTTTCATTTTTTTGTATTTGATACACCATACACGACATCACATTTTGACGAAGTGCGAATCTTCACTTCGTGTCATGGTGCAAAAATAATGCTGAAAAATGAAATTTATTCTCTATTTACAATTGTTTGAAACCGTCGGGAACCTTCACTTTTCTATCGTCGTGTTTTGTCACTTTTCCCTCAGGGTGTGTGTCAGAAAATATCCAAAATCTTTATAGCCTCGTATCTCCTTCAATTCTTGACGGTTTGACATGTATGACACACCATTCAATTCAGAATTATGTGCTGAATCTTATGACATTCATTTGTTCGTGACTTCTTTTCACATATGTAACCATGAATTTTTAACATTTCTTTAACACAGAAAAATAAAGTTAGTTTTATTTTTATTTATTTTTTTATCCTGTATATAAGAAACAGTAATGTCAACAACAGAGAACACAACAACAGTTATAGTCCATGAAGCCATAAATGAAGAATACGAATACATACAATATAACAAACAACTTCGCCTCATTCGTTCGGTCAAAGATGACATGTACCAAATGCAAAGTATAATGAATGCTCTTCGTTCTACAAAGCAAGCATATTATTGGTTTGAAAACTAACAGACAAAAGAACTTTTAGAAGAATTTCCTCATATGATTGCTTCCCTCGGAAAACCGGGGGAAGAGATTCCGTATGTAAATCGCAAGAATTTGGCTCCTGGTTTGAAAGGTTATTATGTTCATAGACTTTTAGTAAACGCTGTAGCAATGTGGGCTTCACCTCGTTATGCTTGTTATATTTTCATGATGTTAGATGAACTATATAAAGCAGAACGTGAAGATATGGAAATGAAACTTCAAGCAAAAGATGAAGTCATTGAATCCAAAGACAAAAGCATACAGAAAAGAATACCGCGTTCGGTACCAAAAGGAAAGGAAAAGAGTTATAAGTATATGATATATACTGAAGAGATGGAAAATGAAGAAGATAAAGATATGGTTATGTTGCATTTAGTGAGAAGAAACAACAAGAGCTTTTATGACTTAGCTAAGATATATAAATCTGATAGAAACTGGTTCTATCGTGAAAACTTACCGATTTCAATGACACCGAATGAGCAAATAAAGGAAATTGTCAAAATACTCTTCCTCAAACACACTATGACATCAAAGGTTGCACAATACTTACATTCAAAGAAGACTTAACATTACTGAAGGAAAAAATAACAGAATATTTCGATAACTTCAAAGAGGAAGAATAAAAAAATCTAAGCTAATTTTATTTTTTTTATAAAATTTTATCTCATATGAAAGAACATGAATTTAGAATATTCGGAACTCATGACAGAAGAAGAGAACGAACAACATGTAAAAGATTATGCAAAATTTCTGAAGACATACAAAGCATTTAAACAATATCTAAATGCTTCTAAAGATTATGCAAAATTTCTGAAGGTATATAAAGCTTATGAAAAAGCGTATGAAAAGTTTATACATTGGGGAATTGTTGTAAAATATCCATATGAAGACTAACCAAAAATATATTTTTGCTTAAATGACGTCAGGGTCAATTTCTTCAACCATTTCACTTTCTTCGTCAATGTCAATAGAGAGCATTGTATGAAAAGAACTTGCAATCTTGCATGTGTTTCATTAAAATAAAAATATTAAATTATTTTGAAAAATAACTTAAAAAAATCTAATCTAATTTTTTCAAAAAATATTTTTTTATTTCCTACTAAAGATGTATCGGAAGTTGTCTAAGTTAGAACACTCGGAAATAAAACAACTTCTTACAGAAGCTAATATAGATGTTGCAAAGCATTACGCAACAAACAAAAAAGCACTCGCTGACATCCTCAATGACTATAATGGTGCAATAAGTTATGATAGAATTCATGAGTTCATAAAGCCGCAACGCGGCGAGGACGAAGTCCATGCAAGAGCATTTCCTTTAAATGACGTTGCTATTGACTTATATCATAGACGTTCAGTACCTCATGAAGTAAGAAGAGAAATGTTTGACATAACAAATGCAAACGTTGGTGAAACAAGAAGAAGAGACGACACACTGAAACAACAGAGAAGAGAGATGTTTAAGAGCGCTATAGAACAAGTTCGCAAAGCTAACGATGTCATTCGTTCCATTGACGACAAACCAAAAGAAGGTGAGAGATGGTTAAAGAAAGATGAAGAGAATAGGAAGAGAAATGTGAAGTCAGGCAATAGACTCATTGACTTTAACATCGAAGCTTTAGATGAACCAAACAGAGACTACTTACACAAACATTTCGGTAAGGTTTTCATGAGACTCTTAGAGAAGATTAAAATAAACTCCAACAAAGATGGATGGTATGTTATAAACTTGGTGGAAAGTATGAATGTTCTACGTTAAACCTCAATAATATTGGAACATTACTACATCAGCTCTTGAAGGAGAACTTTATATCAGAGATAGAAGCAAACGCTGCAGGTATTGTTGAAATGCACTATGACTTCTTCTTGACAAACATAAAGAATCTTACTGAAATAAAGATGTATGATTTAACTGAATATGAAGGCTTAACGATGTCAGATGTAAAGAAAGGCAAACCAAAAAAGAGACCATATAGAGATGAAAGCACACTGACAAATGACCAGAAAGCCATTTTGGAAGCTCTTAAGCAAACAGGAAACCCAGCACTTATAGAAAGCTTTTGGAAAGATAATGGTGAAAAGAAGTTTTATAAGAAGAGAAGCGGTCAGTTCTGGAAGTATCTTTGCACATTACCTATAAATCTTGAACGCTACCAAATCTTCAATGAACTGAACAAAAGAACTGCAACACTTATGACAGAAGATAATTGTTTCGTTTATGCTTGCATTCAGGCTGGAGTAAATGAAGAAACTATTGACCACATGAGAGAAGTCATTCGTGTTAGAGACTTTCCTCAAAGTAAAGTACAAGAAATTTCTGACGCAACAGGTATAGCATTTAATGTTACCATTGGTTATTTCAATGACTCAAGACATAATGAAATAAAGAGATACATACCAAAAGAATGTGAAACTGTTCGAACTATTGACTTACTTCTTGTTGAAGACCACTACATGCTAAATGAAAGATTACCAATGACAACATATTTCATTCGCAACTATATAGAAATCTTGAAGGAGTGTGGTGGAATGAACATTGAGAAACAAATGAAGATTTATACAAAGAGAGAAGATAAATATGTAGTTCGTTATGATAGAACAACACCGTTATGGGATGTTATGAAAACATTGTGGGAGTGCAAATATTTCGAACCTATTTCTTATGGAGAACTTTTCACATATACGACTGACTTATATAAACAGAACCTTGCACCATTTAAAGATTTGACATATGCTCCAAAGTATTGTGTACAACTGAAGAAGAAAGCCGAGTCAAAAGAAGTAAATAAAAATAAGTGCAAGTTCATTCCTGAGCACGTTTTCTTTGCTGACTTTGAGTGTAGCACGATGGAGTTCATAAAGCCTTTAACATATGTTACGACAGTGAAGATGGTTCAATGAGTGAAAGCATTTGGGGTCAGAACTGTGCAACAGAATTTTTGGAACGACTTCCTGACAAGAGTTTAATATATTTCCATAACCTCAGTTATGATATAAACTTCATCTTAAGACACATGACAGAAGTGAAAGGAACTCCCATCATTAAAGGTTCACGAACAATGCAAATAACTGGCTTATATAAAGGAAGGGCAATTATTATAAAAGACTCTTACAGTGTTATAAATAAGAAGCTTAAACTATTTCCTGCTATGTTTAACTTACAAACAGGACCGAAAGAAGTATTTCCATATAACTACTACAGCAGTGTTTTGTTAGCAAATGACAACAGAACTGGTGTCATTTCTGAAGCATGTAAGTTTATCCGGGATGCAGATACATTCATGAAAAACATAGATTCCATCAAAGGTTGCAGAATAGATGAGAACCACTTCGACTTAGAAAAGTATAGCACATTTTATTGCAAACAAGATGTAAGAATTTTAAGAGAAGGTTTTGTTAAGTTCCGCAATGACATATTGAAAGAATTTGATTTAAACGTTTATGACTACGTTAGTATTTGTTCAATTGCTAACAAATTATTTGAGAACAGAGTGTACTTCCCGAATGGAAATTTATATGACCTCTCAAATAAACCAAGAGAATTTATTTCACGCTGTATTCAAGGTGGAAGATGTATGTTGTCAGATAACATGAAACAAAAGAGCGAAAAGAAACTCATTGCTGACTTCGACGCTGTTTCATTATATCCATCTGCTATAGCAAGACTTTATACTTTAGAAGGAATTCCAAAGGTTATGAAGATGAATGTTAAGCACAGAGTATCTCATGAGACATTTATTCGATGACGACCAAAAGGAACCCATTGGTGAAAAGTTTATGTCTGGCTTCTTTGTTCTCATTAAGATAACAGAGATTGGAATACATAGACACTTTCCTTTAATAGTTTGTGACCCTGAACTAAATCCAGAACTTAACGTTCCCAGAAGTTCAAACACTTGCTGTTTAATGTATGTTGACCATATAACATTACAAGACCTCATAAAATATCAAGGTGTCAAATGTGAAGTGTTGCAAGGATACTATTACGATGGAAACAGAGATATTAGAATAAGAGATGAAGTAAAGAAGTTGTTTGAGTTAAGGTTAAAGTATAAGAAAGAAGGAAATCCTTTGCAAGAAAATATAAAGCTCATTCTGAACAGTATTTATGGCAAAACTATTCTATCTCCTATTGAGTCAAAAATAACCATAGTAAATGACAAAGATGCTATAAGATATGCCATCAGAAACTACAACCATATAGTGAAGTTCGAAGGTTTGGATGGTTCAGATAAAACTATTTTCAAGCTAACGAAAAGCATTTGCAGACACTTTAACTTCTGTCCACTTGGTGTTAACATTCTGTCTATGTCGAAGAGAATAATGTGTGAAGTATTCTGTACTGCTGAGATATGGGTCTTCAAATATTTTACCAGGACTGTGATAGCATGCATATTTTCAATGAAGACATACCACTGTTAGCTCAGGAATTTCAGAAGAGATACGGTAGAGAACTTATTGGTAAAACATTAGGTCAGTTCCATTCTGACTTCGCAGAAATAACACCTGGAAAACAAAGTTTAGCATACAAGTCAATATTTTGTGGAAAGAAGACTTACATAGACTTACTCACGAATGATTTAAATGAAGTTGCATTTCATGCACGTTGTAAAGGTGTAAAACAAGACGTTCTTGCTTTAACAGCTAATGAAATGTTTCCTGAAGCTATACAATGCTATTACAATGAAGATAAGAACATTCACATACCTGTTGGAACATATGACAAAGACTCTGAGTTCAGTTTAATGAAACTTTACAAAGCACTTCATGATGGTCAAGAGATTGGATTTGACTTATGTAAGTCTTCTAGTCCTTGCTTTGCTGAAAAGTTTAACTTCTATCAGACTAAGACTTATTCGTAAGTTGAAGTTCTGAGGTCATTTATTTTTGTCAGCATGAGTCATTCGTGATAAAAATAATGAGGTCATATATTTTTGTCATTTATGTATAACCATTGTCTCTCTTAAACTTTGCAATAGACAGCTTTGTTCTTCTTCCTTCTACATCTGTAATGTTTATATAATCTTTGCTATACTGTCTTAAGACATTCATTCGTCTGTATTGAGTTCCCATGAAATAGTAAAAGACATCTTCACTTGGGACATAGTAGTAATTTTCTAGAGTAAATTTAGAGTATTGTATAATTTCAACAGCATCTTCAGGAAGAGTGTCTACAATGTCAAACCAATAGCCATTCGAACCAGAAATATTTCTCATGTTTTGTCTTCTCGACACCCACCTTAAGTTTGAGATATGAAAGTCTCCTCTGTCTCTGTTTATATGGTCTACTTCTCGAAGTCCTTCAGGATTCGGTATAAATTGATTTGCAACAATTTTATGCTTAAAGAGTTTATGTTTGTTTAAATAAACACAAATATAACCATCACCGTTGTCAAACTCACTTACAACTCTTTTGTTACTTATGCGCCTAATTGGATATGGGTACTCTGAAAAGATTTCATAGTCATTGTCATGTTCGAGTGTTTGCCAATGTCCTTCACCTTCCATGCCTTTCACTCAAATAAAAATTTTCAGAAAAAATAAAACTAGCGTAGATTTTACAATACTGCGATGGTAGAGTTTAAGAGTTGTGCTTCAATGTAGAGACAGTCCTTATGGTCTGGAGGTAAGAACACTGGGCAGTTATGGTCATGAGTGGAGAACATGTCTATCCAAAACTCACGATTGAAGCCAGTTAATTTATAGTATTTAGGTTGGAAGTGGTGAATTTCTTGTATGACCAATGAACTCATTTTCAACTCCCTTACTTAAGTTTGAATATAATATAGCTTGCTTTCTATCCCAAATGCCAGGTGTTACAATCTTTGAAAATTCATTTTTCCTCGGAAGCATTGCATCATAATTGAAAACATTCTTGAAATCATCACTTGGTTCAGAGATTTGAAATCTTATACGTAATGGATTTTCTTTCTCTTTAGCGACTTCATTGAATGGTGAATATATAACAAACTGACAGTCATGTGTTCCATCTTCATTTTCATTAAATTCATAATGAAAGTCTATAAGTTGTGGCTGACTACCTTCTTCTTTCAGTTGTGCAAGAAACTCACGTAAAGGCTGTAAAGTTTGTACTTCAATGTTGAACTTTTTCTCGAACATCTCATTAAATGAAATCATACATTGTTGCAATGTTGTATCGTCTTTAAAGTATTTGTATATGTGAATGTTTTGGGCGCTTAAAGACTGTTCGTCATTTTCTATCTCGACTTGAAGTATAAAGTCAACCTTTCTGAAAGCACGTGTTATATACATAGATGTTATGCCAATGTACTTCTCTTCATTTATGTTCACAATCCAGTCTGTTGGAAACTTAAACGTTACTCTGTTCCCCTTTATTTTGACGTCAGGGTTTTCACTACTGAACGCAACAGATAAAGGTATTTGTCTATACATTTAATTCGATAAAAATAAAAACCATTTACTCTTTCTTTGCTTCAGCTTCTTTAGCTTTTGCTTCAGCTTCTTCTCTAGCTTTCTTCGCCAGCAAACGTGGGTTCTTTTGTCTTCCAGCAGCTAATGCAGCAAGTTGTTTTTCACTAAGTTTTCTCTTTGGTCTCTCTGGCTTTTGTTCTTGTTTTTGTTCCTTCAGTTCGGATAAAATTTGCTCACGAATTTCTTTCTTCAATGCTTCAACATCTATGACCCCTTGGGTCTTGTCCGTAGGGCTTGTCTGAGTCATTTGACTGCAGATAAAAAACAAAATTAAAACTTTAACCGATGTAAAATGAGCTTGTCAAAATCAGAACGAGAGTCTATTATATTAAATGACGCCAGAGGAATACAACATCCTTTCTATTACGTAAGTCAGAGTAAAGATGGTAAAATATACGTAAGAAAAAGAAAGGTTCCATTAGCGAATACAGAGAGCGACAACATTAAGGTGCATGGCACCGAGGGCGAAGTCCATATAAAACCTTCTATTCAAACTGAAAAGTCAATAGAACCAGAAGAAAAGAAGCCAGATGTTCTTTCAATAACGAACCAAGAGCTTATTGCAAAGTTCGTGAATTTCATTGAAAAGCAAACCGAGTCAAAGAACCCTGACCCACCAGTGAAAGAAGTTGTGACTTTTTTGATAACTTTAACACTTCTCTCTGAATCCAGACCTTTAATTTGCAACTTAATCAGGAATGAAGGAACAACACTGGAATATAACTCGATGACAAGTTCATCGAGTCGAAGATTTCGCCTTTCTGGGAAGTACTGGTGCTTCAAAACCTTGAAATGTGATTCCGAGATGTTGTTTGTTCCATCTCCTTCATTTATATAGCGAAGCATCCACCTGTCAAGATGATGGCGCCACTGTCGGTCAAAGTATTCACGGGCAGCAGGTTCCTCATTTAAAATTTCTTCTAAATTGTTGTAAACTTCATCAGGATCAATTTCTTCCTCTTCAGAACCAAAGACCAATAACTTCATTAAGTTATAGAAAGTTTCGAAGTTGGAACGATCTTGAAACTTTTCAGCCTTTCTCATGACAGCGCGCAACACATGAACGCCACACCAAATGATCTGGCATAAGGGGATGGCTGTTTCAACAGCATTTGTGATTTGAGGTGCGCAGTCCATTGAAAAATAAGATGGTTCGCGATTGATGGAGCCAAAATATGCTGTGTGACAAACTTGTATATTTTCACTTGTGTCGGGCCAAACGAAAAAATACAAAAACGGAAAAACAATTGATTCCGCGAATTTGCCAGTGACGGCATAAAATGGTATGCGAGAGCGCAAGAGCTTATAAGTGGAATCAATGTGATAAGTTTGTATTTGATGTGAAAAAGCATTTGCTTCGGATGGGGCGTAATAGAAAATCATACGATCTGGCTCGTGAATAAACTCGATGAGATCATCTGGAGAATGACTCTTAACCATGTCGACAAAAATTGCAAGAGATGTAACATCATCCGCTGAGAAACGGGTATTGATTGCATGAAGGCGTTTAGAAAACTTTTTTAAAGCATCTGTAGATTGTTGAAACATTTCCGGAATGATCCCACTCTCAAATGGGATATTAAGATCTTTGAAACACCTTAATTGTGCGTAAACACGGTCTTGATTTGATTCAAAATATCTTGTTAAATAAGATCTAGAAAAATATGATGTAATTTGTTGTGATTTGTTTGGAAAAGGAGCAGAATGATTGTGGGTGTTAATACATTTTCGTATGTGGTACTTGTCATCGGGAAGTGTATCAACAAGGAAGCGACATGGACAATTCGGCCACTTACAATTAAATTGGATTTGATTTCTTTCTTTCCTAGTTTTATATGAATAACTACAACCTGCTTGTATTTCTTGTTGCACTCCATACTTAAGCAACTCGATATATGTGAGTTCGTGATCTTGGATCTGCATTAAAATGAAATGATTTGAAAGAATAAAGAATTTTGAATATATTGGTCTTATTTTGATAAGCTTGGTCGTGTTTTGAATAGCTTGGCCATCTAATTCAATTATGATCTTTGAAAATTAGGTGAAATAAAACTAAACATAAATGTAAAACTAGGGATATGAAATTTTGGTTGTACACCACTTGTATGTGCCGGATACCATTGTGTCAAATTTTTTCTGAAATTAACTTTAAAAGTACTAAGTAAGATCATGAGATATAGCAATATATGTTTAAACCAACTTATATTTTGGTTGTACACCACTTGTATGTGCCGGATACCATTGTGTCAAATTTTTTCTGAAATTAACTTTAAAAGTACTAAGTAAGATCATGAGATATAGCAATATATGTTTAAACCAACTTATATTTTGGTTGTACACCACTTGTATGTGCCGGATACCATTGTGTCAAATTTTTTCTGAAATTAACTTTAAAAGTACTAAGTAAGATCATTTATTTTTGCATAATATAATGCCAATATGGTTTCTTTTGATTTTATTTCATTTATAAGCAAATCAGATTTACCCAAAAACTCCACTCCATAAGCGTTCATTTGCTAAATTAAAAAGTGACAATGGGCTAGTCTGTCCCTTTCTCCTTTATTAAATGAATTTTTGATGTTCTAATTCTAAATTTCAGAATCTTTGAGTAGAATTTCATTAAAACAATGAGATTGAGAATTAGATTTTAAAAACATCAAGCTACTTTATTTGATAGTAAAGTTGACGATAGAGACCGTTTGGTCAGAAAAAATCTGATAATTTTTTTGTGATGAGTCTTTCTTTATATATAGACTATATCGCAAAAAATATTCAAACATATATCGATCAAGAAAACTTTTTTGATATTATTGATCAAGAAAACATTCCAAACATTTTAGAGAAAGCAAATCTTGATCCAACTCTTTTCAAAACTCTTCTTTTGCAAGGTAAAACAAAATATTCATTACCAAAATTATATAAATTTGTTCAAAAATGCAAAGTTTGTGTTACATCATTTGAAGACGCTATTAATATTCTTAAAACCTACGAAACCTGTTTGAAACTTGAATCATCATCTGGATTAATAGATTTCTTTACTAAACACATAGAAAATCAAAAAAATCAAACACAACTTCAAAATAATCAAACACAACTTCAAAATGAAATATCACAATTTAATATTCAAAATGCACAACTCATGAACGAAATATTCAAATGTCATAATGAAAATAATCAATTACAACAAAGAATCAATAAAATTACGACAATACATGAAATTCCATTGAAGTCAGATTTTGACACAGCTTACAATTTCCTTAAAGAACTTTCTAAAAAGCGTGATAATTTCCTTGAAGGACTTACAAAGAAGCGTGATAATATTAAAATGCCTATTTCATGTGCAGTTGGATTAAGTGAAAAGCGAAACTCAGATGAAAATACAATCTTGCTTGAAGCATGTATTAATGGGGATTTCCAATTTGTTAAATCTCTAGATTCGAATGCAATTGTTATAGTCTCTAAATGGACACATATTTCTGAATGCTTGGAAGTCATAAAATCTGAAACATCTATTCTGTACATTTTATAAAAAATAAAAAATATTTTTTTTATTTCTTGAGCTATTTGTTGCATTTGTTGTTCTTGAGCTATTTGTTGTTGAAGTTGTTCTTGTAATACAATACTTCAACCGGTTGCATCTTCCAATTCGAAACTTTCTGCTCTATTGACAAATACATAGGACATAAAAGTTTTACAGGAACAAAGTTTGCGTCAACTAATGTCAACGTTATACTTGCCAAAGTGTTTGAGTTCACTAGGTTGAAAATTCTGCATTCGAATGAACAATAGGCAAACCAGCAGAGAAAGTGTTGTTTATTACGCATGAGTATCTTTTGGTCATAGTAGTTTCTGTCGACATTCGAATAGCACTTTGAACCTAAGTTTGAAACAATATATAAGATTGGTGTGCTTAAATAGTCA